AGGATTGAATATCATTTTTTTGAAGAACGATACAGGTATAGGATTGCTGGTATTTGCTGAACAACATGCTCTTATTTGATGTTCCCCAGGCTTGAAATTGTGTCTTAACTTCAGATAGCAATAGGGAAGTCCTCGACTGTTTGTAGGACACAGTGAGACTTCAGATAGCTATATAGATAGATAAATAGCTACAGATTGATCGCTTTCACTCGCTTTTGCTCCCTCTCAATCCATGTTAATATACAGATATATATTCATATAAATAATATATAATGATCCATATTAATATACAGATATATAGTATATACAGATCAGTACCAGTGTATAAGCTATATATGCGTAGTTTAAAGAAGGCATACATTTAATAACTATTTTGACTTCAGATGGCTAGTGTTTTTTTCCTGTGTTTGTCCATGTACTTCAAAATTGTTTTTTCTTCTGTTCAGTGCAGTTAAACTAAGACCGAAAGAGGGAGAGACATACTTTCATTTTGTGGCTGTTGTTGACCCTGTTACCAGAGAAGCTCAAAGACTTGCTCCATTACTTTTGGTATGCATGCAGTATTGTAATGCATTTCATGGCACTTGCAGATAAGTTCTCTCTTCTGTAATTTTGAAATGTTTTCTGCCTCCTTGACTGCGTGGTGACTAAGGGCCGTCTAGTAGTGTGGCTGAAATGCATAATGCATTCCTTAGTATGTAATACAGAGTAATTAGTTATTCCACTAGCAATACAGACCATGCTTAAACACCTTCTAGATAACTTTTAATTTCATCATTGTCAGTTTAGTTTGCAGTGACTCTTCTTGGGGAAAAACACTTCTGCATCCCAAAAAGAGTGGCTAGAACATGAAGGAGCAGATAACTGATTTGCTGCCACTAATTAAAAGCTGGATGTAGTAAAGCAAGAATTGAGAAGGGTGGATTTAGAACAAGCAGGTCACATGCCTCCTTCAGATTCTGTCTGTAAACAGCGGTCAGCTTTCCTAGTTAGCATTTTAAGTCTCTTTCTTATTATTTTAGGTTTTGAACCAACTGATAAATATGAACCTAAGAGTGTTCATGAACTGCCAGTCCAAACTTTCTGACATGCCTCTCAAAAGGTAAGAAATACCATGCCTGGGGTGGGAAAACACACTGGAAAGCAGCAGTATGGGAGCAGAAGCATGTGCTTAGTATAGTGAAGTTGGCAAAGGCTGTTTGGAGGCCTTGTCACAAGTTAGGGTGTAGCCTGTGTTGAGAAAACCACTTCTACTGGGTTCCACAACTGCTATTCTCTATCTTAAAAAATAACCTCCCCCACCACCAACAACAAAAAAATCAAAAAGAAACACAAACATGGTCAGATGACCTACAGGAGGTCTTGATAAATGCTTTCAGCTCATTTAAATAATAGCAGAATATATAATAATGAAGCTGGGAACTTGTGAATGTTGTGAAGAAACTTAGCTGGTTTACAAGTTTGTTTGTTTGCTTTTCACACACACACACACACACACACACACACACACACACACACACACACATATATATATATGAGCAAGGTTAAATAACTTACTAATCTTAATGATTGAGTCTTGCACAATCCGGTAAACTGGTGGGTCCTTCAAAATGAAAATTCTGAACTGATCAAAGGGTGCTGCTTTGTCCAAAGCCTCCTGTATGCAACGGGGAATACAAATTTAATTGTGGCTTCTTGGAGGTATTGGAACTCTCTCTGGGAAAGCTGACGCTGTCAGCAAGTTCAAAGAAAGTGAAATACTTGTAAAATTTGGCAGAAGAATGTTCTAGCATTTTTTTTTCCCCTGAAATTTCAGCTTTTATCGCTATGTTTTGGAGCCAGAAATTTCTTTCACAGCAGATAACAACTTTGCTTCTGGACCAATTGCCAAGTTTTTGGATATGCCTCAGTCCCCGCTGTTCACTTTAAACCTAAATACTCCTGAGAGCTGGATGGTGGAATCTGTCAGAACCCCATATGACCTTGATAACATTTACTTAGAGGAGGTAAGACAAATCAACGCGTTCCTATTGTTGTATTTGAATGTGTGTTCCCCCCCCCCCCAAACCAGGGATTACATTTGTAATGGAAAAGAATTGTAGAATTTTTAAATGCTAGTATTCATAAAACAGTAGATGTTAGCACTTCTTCCATGAGCAGACCCCCTAAAGGTTTTCCAGGAAAGGCACAGGTAAACCTGAGCTCACTGCAAGTTAGATTGCTGTCCTCAGCTGCTCACGGATGCCTGGAGACCACAGGCTGAAAAATGCTGGGTAAAGGATGAAATGAAGGAGATGCTATACTGACCTCCTGTAGGCTTGAAGTAGATCCTACAGAGGTTGTTTCGCTTGTGCGTGTATGACGCTTCAGAATGTCCTGAGCTAGAAATGAAGAAACTCTTAATGGGACATTAAACCTTTTTTTTTTTTTTTTAAATTTATTAATTAAAAATTATCTGTGATTGGAACTTCCCACAGCTAGCGTCACAATTAAAAAGTAAGGGTTTTCTTTACCTCTGATTTAGAGGTTTTTTTGAGATAAGACCTGACAGTCCTGTCCCAGCAAGTACATTCCACTTACTTTCCCTTGTTCTGAGAAGCCACCAAGCTGGTTTTAGCTACCTGTTCATTTTCACAGCTTTTGTTACTGGCAAGCACTCTTGTGGCCCACAAAGGATATGCAGCGTCAACAGAACAGAAGAACTGGTGCAAGAGAATTACACTCCCTCGCACTGGTTTTAGGAGTGGATTGCTGCTAGAACAGGTCTTGAATTACGCTATTGTAACACTGATTTGGGAAGTGCTGCCACAGATACGTGGGGGTAAAATAAGGAGAAATGGAAAAATCCAAGGAGATGGTATTTAGTACAAAAGAACTGTTAAAAATCAAGGGGAAATATATGTATCTACAAATTGATAACTCTCATTTAACCTTGAATGAGATGGATTATCCAGTGCCAATTATTAACCTCTTACTATTAGCAGCTAACTTTGACTTACTCTAATAGTCTTCAGCTGACTTAGAAATAGAGGACTGGTAAGTTACAAATGCACCATACTAACATGTTAGCAAGTGCACTAAAACGGTGTATGTTAAAAGTTAGGAAATCCGTATGTGATGCCACTTGGAATGTTTTATACTTCAGAGTACAAAGTTAATAGCCTAAGTAGGTTGCCAAGTAGTCTTTTTTCCCTTGGAATAAGCCATTATGTATCTGGCCTTGAACAAATGCAGATATATTTTAAAAATAAAGTAATTTTGTATGTATAATCCAGAGTGTGTGGAAAGATGCCAGACTGACAGCTCTGGAGGCTGAAGTCCTCTATTTATCCACAGAACGGGTATGGCATGGGCAGTGGCAGTACAAGCTTCCCCACCAATGTGCCTCAACCCTGACCTGGAGGAACCACCTCTAGAGGTGAGAGGGTAGTTCAGGCTCCAAAACCAGCCCTGGGCCTTGTCTGTCAGGACTGGCAGCAACAGCAGCACCAGCTACGCGGGTGACTCCTGCAGTACGGAAATCTGTCCACTGCAGAGCAGAAGGAGATTGTCAGCCTCTTTGCATAGACCTCTTACAAATCAGCAGCCTGCGCAACCTTGCGGTCATTAATGACGTGGGTTAGTTTGTCACTTAACGTTATTATATTTCATTATTAGCCTCTCCTTACTTTCGCATCCCACTGATATTGTTTGGGAATCTGATGCAGTACAGTGGCAGAGACTGGTATTGCTAATCCTGTACTAACTATTCAGAATTTTGGAAAGTTTAATGTTTTTTGTTTGTTCTTTTGGGGAGGGCTTTTTGCTTTTCATCTCTTGACCTAACCATTAAGCTATAAATGGACCACCAAAGGGTTGATGTGACTACCCATTTCAAGCCTTTGAATTCATCTTGTTAGATGAACTGAAAGCTTGGGAGAGGGGGATTAAATACTTCAAGCACGCTCAAAGTGCCGTCCCGAGTCTCTAAAGGAATATGAGCTTTATGTTTGCTGGTGCAGAATTTCCAATTCCTAATATGCCGTTGTTTGAAACTAGCAATTAAACTGTCATTCTGGACCTGCAACGAGGAAAGATGCTTTGTGAGACTTGACTAATATTCTGCTCATCTAGTTTTCTCAGGCAAAAACCTGAATTTAGCCTGATGGGGAGTTAGGCCTGAAGTGATTTGTGAAACACGGCAAATGTTTTTTCTTAGCGCTTTTGTTCTAAGTAGCCAAATGAACTGGTCCTTCTGACAGTACCCGAGCATGTCGTAGGAGAAATGCAGAGCAAACCAAAATGCTAATTTCAGATGATAAAAATTAGATGAGATAAACAGATTTCAAACAGTTTCAAACATTTAAATTCAAGGTTCTGAAGCCTGTCATACTTCTTGTGAGATGCCAACTTATTTTACTAAATTCCCCAGAATGTGTAAAAACATTGTTAAATAGAGGAACAGTCATACTGGTGTCTTACTAGTTTAGATTCAGGCCCTTTCTGGCCAGGGGTGTGTGTGTGAAGTGCTTCACTCCATGGAGCTGTGTTCTTTGGGGGATGTCTAGAGATTTGCTGAATAAAATTTATCTATTGAAATAAAGCAAATACTATTTAAATACAGTCATTGCTATTTAATTACTACAGCTGCTTTAGCAAGTAATTGAATCATTAAAAAAAATACACTTTTGAGCTACTTCCAAGTTTAGCAATAGCTCTTCCTTACAGGTGGATAATGTTGTAGCTGCAGAATATGAACTGGAATATCTTCTCCTGGAAGGACACTGCTATGATATTACTACTGGACAGCCACCTCGAGGACTCCAGTTTACGCTGGGAACTTCAACCAGTCCTGTCATTGTTGATACCATTGTTATGGCCAACTTGGTAAGCGTTTAACTGGCCACAAATAACTCCCGCTCTCCAGTTAGGGCTATCACTTGCATAAACCACTGGCTGTCTTTTAATATGTGAGCCATCGATATGTGGTGTTACTTATACTTCACAGTTGCCTGCAAATATACCAGAGCCACATCGTTCCTAACACTCACGTCTTAAAGCCTTGCTGTGTACTTGTTTGTCTGTTACCTTTTTCAAGAATGCTCTCCTTCCCTGCAGCTTACTGAGGAGGGTCTTCTGGAACGTCTCAAAACGATGCCCATATTCTTTAGTGACCTCTTGCTAGGAAAGGCCAGACAGTTCTGTTTTCTTCCAGACTGGGTGGTACTTGAGAGCATCCAATCTATCTGGCACTGAAAGCCTCAGGTGGAAAGCTGTCTTGCCTTGCACACAC